CAAGAGGAACACAATAAGCCAAAAAGAGAGCCCAACAAAGCCGCGAGGAGGCGAGTGTGTGTGTGCAGCGTCGGATTTTGATTAATTAATTTGCATACGTGCAATAAAAAGTAAGAGCTGCGTTAATTTCTTGGCGCCCAAAGACGCGGGCAGAGCAACCGGCAGCGGCAGAAGCAGAAGCGGCGCAGCAGCCGAGGGTTTTATAGTGCAGCCGTATAATCAAATTAATAAACGAACAATAAAAATGCATAACAAATTGATGCGAGGCGATGATGATGATGGGGATGATGAGTGGAGAGGTTGGAGACACACCGCGAAGTAGCAGAGCGTACACTGCTAGAAACTTGTCGGGATTGTCGAGTTTTTAAGAGACCCTAACCTCTAATATCTATTGGAGGGACCATATACTTTTCAAGCCAATCGATACTGCAGCCTTTTCGGACTTCATGGCAGGTATGACCGATCAATTGGGAAGCCGCATCCCACTTTTGTTTTCGGTGCAGCGAAAGAAAGGGGAAAGAATAGAAGCAGCAGCATTACACGCATCATTATGTTGAGCGTTTCTCTGTTTCTTTTCTGCTTGGTTATTGATGATATGGAGACATGGACCCTAGCCCCTCAGACAAGCGGGGGCAGAGCCCGCACTCGGGGGAAACGCTTCACTTGAAACAGCTCTCATACAGACACCCACACAAAACAGGCACTCCACATAATAAATAAAATCAAAATAAACCCATCGATTGGAAGCAGCTCGCTTCATACACAAGTGAACTGGCACAAAGTTTCCTTAGCGTGAAGGTTTAAGAGTGTTTTTGAAATCTTTGCCGGTTGTGCGGTGGCTGCTGCTGTACCTGTCCCTGCCCCTGCCACTTCTTCCCCTGCTGCTGGAGCACTCGGAACGAATCGACGTTTGCTGCGGTCATCTGCTCCACGATCGCTTTTTCTTTGGTTCCAGCCGAACGAACTCAACCTGAGACACCGTTGCTGGGACTTGCCTGTGACTTTGAGTCGCGGGTTAAAGGTCATCATCAGCACTGCCCCACCTCCGTGCAGCGGCGGGACCCCACGCCCCACTCTCCTTTCTGCAGCGCCCCAGGGCCCCCCTAGTCCTTGAACTGCGTGAGAGCATCAAGTGGCCCGATTGCTAAAACAACTCCACAGACACTGAGAGAAACATGGGATGTTTGGATAAGGAAACTACACCTAATTAAATATGTTTCGAGCAATCAAGCTAATCACAAAGGTTCCCAAATATTCAAACTCATCCTATATTGTAAGTTTACTAGCTAGAACCTCTTAGTTTGATTTTCTGAAACCTTATTATAGGTATAGTTTTCTGCCGTGTAATATGCCAGCATTTTATTTTTCCACGGCTGCTGCTTGGCATCGCATCATCTTGCTCGCGTCTTCTTCATTTTCGCCGGGCTTTTCGCAATCTCTCGGTTATAAATCAATCCCCGAGGCTTCGGCTACCGTTTTCTTCTTGCTTGTGTTTTTCGGCCGCATTAGTTTTGGCGGCGAGCGAGTCGGGGGAGTGCAATAGTAAATTATAATTAGAAGGGAGGAGAGCCAACTGGCTAGACCCGCTGCAGAGCGGGAGGCTGGGGAAAAGGGCCAAAGGGTTAGGCTTTTTAACCTGTTGAGTTCCGAGCTGTAAATCAAAAGCCAAAGAAGGCGATAAGCCACCGAAACACAATCGTCAGAAGAAGGCTAGAGAAGTCCCTCCCCCTGGAGAGGAATCAAACGCAAGGGGAATGGACGGAAAAAGGACGACAATATAGAATGAACGGCGGACTAAGGACGAATGTGGCTGCAGAAGTTTGCCAAATGAAATTTATGGCATATAAATTATCTCACACGTTGCCGGACTATTGACAGCTTTAAAATAATCGTAAAATGGCCCAAGAAATCCATAAAAAAGGCAAAAACAAAAAGCGAATGCGAATAATAAAAACGGGCAATGGAGAGGCGCTGGAAAGGAAAGCAGAACCAGAAAACCGTGGCCCAGACACAGAGCCATGAATGTGAATTACTATTTCAGTTTTCGACCTAAAAGCGCTGCAAAATGAGCGGGGTCGAGGGTTGGGGCGCGACAGGCGACGACGTTGGATTACACGCCAAAAAAAACCCTTTAGGACAGCAGATTAGACGGTTTACTAAAGGTAAAGCAAAGGGTTGCATCACAAATGTTTTTGCCACTTTCCACATTTGGTGGAAAGTTTTGTTTTCGGTGCATCGTCAGCCTAAAGTTTCAGTTTCAGGTTCGGGCCAAGCCCCGGATTGCAGAAATTGAAAAGTTCCCAACAGTTGGGGGGCCCCTCATAACTTTCATAGCACGGGACACGGAACACAAAAAGAGACAGAACGACAGGCAGACAGGAACAGTGACAGGGACAGCCGGCAGACAGAGACAGGGACAGGCGCAAAATAGAGAAACGAACAGGGATCCGGAGGAGGCCTGCCCCTTTTGTTCGATTCTATTTTTAATAATTATACATTTTAAAGTCTAAGTCGCAATACTTGGTGAGACTTATCGGTTAATACTCCTCGTCCCCAATTTCGAAAGTTTCGTTCAAGGTTTCAAAATGCGTTCCATTAGTTTCTTTGGGCTTTGGCCTAGCTTCCGCTATCTGGAGCCGGATCGGGCAACTTTATTATGATTTGCGGGGACAGACTTTTAATTTGAAAGTGCCAACTAAACTGGTTTTGCCGTTGGAGAAGCTCCCTGACTTTTTGTTCGTAATGCCAGCGACCACCAGCGAAGGCAGCAAAATCCTACAATAAATTGACAAGAAGAGGGACTCAACGCCTCATTATGCATGGCAATTTATGGGCCGCACCACGCCCTAGAACTAGACATCCCCCAGAAGCCCCTTTTTGGGTTTGCTAAATGCGGCAGCAGCTGCCGTGTCTACGCTTCTTGCTCCATAAATCAACCTTAGGATCCATCCAGCCGAAGTTGAGGTTTTCTGAAGCTAAAGTTGGAGCTATAACTGAGCCTGGCTACGTCTTAGGCTTGAAGACTTGTCGTAAATGTCGAAAAGAAATAGCCACGATGTGCATAGAAAAACGCACTTCCCTGCACAGAGAGAAACCCCAGAAGTAGGAACAGAATGTCAAGAGCTTCCTTTCTAATTAGCTGACTTGGGAACCACTCGTTTCTTTCCCTGGAGGAGGTGCAGACAAAAGCTTCCACGGACATATTGTTGCAGCGTCCGCCCCACGATCCCCACGGTCATAATCTCCGGGATCGTAATGATCTTTCCTTTGTGGCAGTCATAAATGTTGATGAACAGCAGCGCGAACTTTTGTCGAAGGCGTTGCCGGTCTGAGCTTTTGTTGCTGCTGCTGCTGTTCCTGCTGCCGTTGATGTTGCTGCCGTGTTTGCTAGCAGCAACATAAAAATTGAAAAGATGCAACCACGGAGATATATACGAAGAAAAATGAGCAGGCAGCGTGGAGGGTAGCTAAGCGACTAGGGATTACCCTTGAGCAGTAGAAGGAAATCAATCTCTGGTATGGATTTCGAAGATTTGGGGCCTATCCCACTCTGAACGAATCCCTATTGCCTCGAATATTTATAGCCAATATTGGAAGTTATCTTCTTGGAAACAAGGGAGTCTGTTATCTTTATCTAATGCTTCCAAGTTTACTGAATTTCCCCTTTACTTTCGATGTGTTAGGGGTTATAAAAATAAAGTCCAGTTTATTTAGTAGTCAGCCAAAAAACGAATGTATGACACTTTCTCATATTGCTAAATTAGGTAATAAGCTCGTCCAAGTTTCTAGGACCCGCCATTAGCCAAGGGGTATCCGACAAAGCCCCGAAAAAATGCAGCAAAAACAAACTCAGAAACAGTAGAAGCAGGAAGAGAAAAGCTGGCAGCTTTACGACCCGACTTGGCATCAGTCCGTTGTTGTAAAGAGGTGCACTCCAGCACGGGGTCTATGGCTTCCTGAACATCCATTTTCCAGTCAAATGTCGACAGTTTTTTGACTGAAACCGCCCCCGCCCAGCCACTTAGCCCCAAAACAGTACGTTCTGTGGCAAATTTATGGGGGAAGAAGGTGTCTGCAACCGCTTGTCCAATGTCAACAAGTTTACGGCCCGATTTGTAGATGCAATTACAGCTCCACACCGAACTTCACAATCCGAGACTCATAGCTCACCTATATTGAGGCTTTTTACCATCCAACTAGTATGATTCCTCTCCGAATACCTTACAAGTTGATTCCCCCATTCGAAGAAAGAATACTGGACTGACATTAAACAGTCAGCAAAAGTGAAAATTCGACCGGCGACCGAATAAAATAAAAGAAAATCCCCAACAACAGCAAGAACAACAGAAACAGCAAGTTGTGGAAAACTAAAAGGAACAAGAAGCACTGGCAGAAGTAAAGGAAGAAGGACAGGCTAAAAAACTTTGACAACTGCGCAAAACTTTTCCAAGCAAAAAACAAAAACGGGCAGAAATAAAAAACAAAAATTAAAACAGAAACAAAACAAACTTCAATAGCACACAAAATGGGCATGCGGGAAAGGGACGGCATTCCCCGTAGGAGGACAGGGCAAGGACTCGAGAGGGAGACGAACATCAGACCGCTCCTCCTCCCTTTAATGTTGAAACCTTTAACGATCCCCGAAGGAAACAAGTTCAAAAGTGCAAACTTCGTTACCCTCCCGACCGTCGCCATCTTAACCCTTTGTGGGCTTAACCCGCGACAGAAATTCCACTTGGGGTTAGGAATGGTCCGCTTCTATTCAGACTCGATCCCTCCTCTGGGAATCAGTATATTCTAGTCCGCTGGAATCCCGTCGGCGATATGGAATCGAACTGTAAGACTTCTTATACTTTAAGTCCCATTCATAAAAAGTGTATCCATATCATAATGGAAAGGATACTCCGGACGCAAAGCCCCATAAAGACTTGTTTTAATTTTCGAATATCAATCGAAGAACCCATGATCCTTCTACGGAGCGATGATCCTGTCAAACTTACCGATATTGTGCTGACTGGTGTGCAGAACCGCCCCGAACGCCATTAGGTGGTCCTTGGGCGGGGGGGCGCGGCTACCGAGGGCGGCCGGGACGAACCCGTCGCCCAGAAATGACGCCAGTGCGACGGCCCTCAGGGGCGCTTTCGAAGCCTCGGTGAGAATTTTGTTGTCCAAAATCTTAGTGCCGGGGTGGAGTTCTTCCCTCTGTCGGGATTGTTCTATTTCACAGTTTAACGAGCTGCGATTTTTCCAGGCCTTCAATGGGTTAATCGTAGAGTATGTACGTAGTGTAGGTGCACGGGTGTATGGGGTTTACGGACGTACGCACGAGCGGGTGTACAGATGGTCGGTTGGGTGGACGAGGAAGAGGAGAGAGCGTTAAAGAGCGGGATCCCCACTCGCACAATTAACGGTAAACGCACATAAACGCGACTGAGCGGGACAACGAGCACGGGGGTCAGGCCGGAGACAGTGGTCCCGTAAGAGTGAGACGGGCTGAGCACGTGTGTGCCGGCGGCAAATGGAGCAAAACAAAAACAAAGCGCGCGATTCCGGCTTCCTCCTGCTTCGGCAATTCAAAGATGATCCAGTATTTGCCAGTATATTATTAAGCGATCGCTTCGCAAACTTTTTTCATCACACTTGACACTTGACTTTTTTTTTTGTTTTGTTGCCGGCTGGGCTTTGGGCCTATTTGTGCTGTTGCTTGTGCTTTTGCCTCGGCTTACTATTCGTTGATCACTTGCAAAAAAATTAAACAATCAATCGCGGTAGGTAGCTCCTTCGGCGCTTGAACGGTTCAACTGTGAAGGAGTGGCGACTTTCGCGGCGGAAACAGCTGATTTGCACACGTTCTTCCTAGCATTCCGGGCTGAATTCGTTTGGCTGAACAGTCTGCGTAGACTCGCTTCTGTGGAGAACCGGGCGAACCGGGCAAGGCGAACGTCAGTCGAAAACTGAAAGCGGAACAGCGAAATACGGCAAACGGCGACGGCGATGGTGACGGCGATGGCAACAACATGGCACACGACGCGCACACACGAGCGAACGAAGAGAGCCGAAGCGGCGACGAATGGCGCTGCTAACGCGCAAGCGGGACGGACAACGGCGTGTCACTCGCTCTCACGTTGAACTATGCGGCCGATAGTTTCCCTTTGCAGGACACGCGAGCGAGCGAGACGTAGTTAGTGTCAGTCGAAGCTGCTGCGACGCTGACTGCTCTGCCGGCGGCGCTGTAATGGAGTCGTTGGCGGCTCCACTGCTCCACCGCCTCTCTCTCGCACTTGCTCTCTCGTTCTTTGCAGTTTGCTTTTTTGCTCCTTGCTCTCACGTAGTTGTTTTGGTTTTTGTTTTTGGCTAGCTTTTGCGCCTAGGCATCTATACTCTAGTAGCGAGTACTATTATTTTAGCTAGTATCTTTGAGATACATTATGTGGATAGTGTAGATGCGGATGGCTTTCAGTGAGTTTGGCTTTCAGATGCTGCAAGAATCTATTTGTCCATTTAGAAACTATTTCTCTTAAGCAGTGCATCTTTCAAGCATTCCAAATACTACATTCTTGGAATACGGCATCCATCTTTTAAATATCATGTCCTAGAAGATACATATGAAGATCCATTTTGTGTGACACGGTCGCCACAATAGCTCGACTTTTCCTAGATTTTTCTATGCTCTTTGCTGGAATTTGTTGTCCCCATCTTGTTTTTGTTTTCATTTTTGCAGCTCCGGCTCCATAGCCCGCCACTGTTGCTGCTGTTGTTGTTGCGAGAGAGCGGGTGACGCATTTTGCGGTTAGAGGAGGCGTTGCTAAGCAACTGGTTTTCGTTTTGGCCTTCGCTTAACGCTTTTCGCTTCATTGAGAGATGCGCAAAAGTTTTTCGCTCGCCTCGCCTCGCTCACTCCCGTGCTTTCTCTCGCTCGCTCGCGCACTCTCTCTCGCTCACAGAGCCAATGGCATTTTTCAAAGTGACATTTGGCCGCGTTTTGTCTCTTTCACACCCTGCCGTGAGCCTTGTCTGATTGCGTTTATGTGCGGCTGTGTGTGTGTTGGCCAAGGTAAAATGTCAAATGCTTTTCGACTGTCAACTGTTGGTCGCAAAAAAGTTTTTTCCGCTGCCACTGCCGCTGCTCCTGCCACAGCCGCTGTTGCCTGCTGCTTCTTCTTCTTCTTCACCTTGTGTTTTGTCACTTGTCGTTAGCAGTGCGAAAGGGAGAGGAAGAGCGCCAGCCGGCGAGAGCGAGCAAGACAAAGAAAGCGAGAACGGACGCCCCTTTGGCGTTTTAACGCATATAAGACAGAAAAAAAAATTTAAAAAACAAAAAAAAATATTGAAAAAAAAAGGAAAAAAACAAACAAATAAATATGTAAAAAAAAATTCAAGAAAATGCAAGAAAGAAAATGAACAAAAATACAATAACATTTTATATTCTGGCTGCGTGTGCAATTCTCGCACTGAACGGAAAAAAATTTTAAAATACGACATGGTAATAAGGCAAAGATCAAGCACAATTAAAATAAAAGCAAAAACCAACTCTGCTCCACTGACAGAAGGCAGTAGGAGAAAAAGAGCGAGAGCCACATACGCAGGGCGGCCGAAAGAGAGGCGCAGCACGGCGACAGTGGGTGGCGCCCACTGTCTCTCCCTCTCCCTTTCACACTTTAGCGGGCGGAGGAAGACGCAGCAGCTGAAGATGTTCGACAAAAAGGAAGAAACCGAGGGGCCATGGGGCCAGTGGGGGTTAAAATGTTCCTTTTTGTGGAGGGGGAGTCAAAAATATTGCACATTAGGGTGTTAAGCTGTGAAGTGCTTGGCATCTCCCCCTCTATTCCTCTGCCCCTTCTGTGGGGGTGTGTGTGCTTAATGGGGGAGTGTTTGTGTGTCGGGTCAGGTGAGGTCCCTCCCAGCACCCATTCATGTTATCGAAAATGTATCGAAATCAGTTGATCTTTGGCGGCCTTGAAAGCGGATGCCCCACTTTACAAAAAACGAGATGGCAATAGTTGCGAAAAGGACAACAGCTTCTGTCTAGCTTTTTGTTTTAAAGTTTTTCGAGAAATAATATTTATGTTGCAATTCAATTATTAATTACTATCCGAAATATTTTATAAACGAGAAGGCTTGGTAAAGGGGGACACGAACTACGTCGGATTAGATAAAGAAGAAGTAAGGGATCCTCCCCTCCGAGATCCTGATCCCTAATCTGTCATCTCGTACAGCCGGGCTCCTTCGGTTTACCTTTGGCTTCTATAAGTGCTCCGGTTCCTTTTCCTGCTCGTTTTTCCGATTCCTTGTCTCTCCTCTTGTTTTCTTGTCCTTATCTCCCATCCTGCCCCATATCTGCCCGCCCACGTCTGCTCCTAGTAAACGCCAACAAATGTCAGTTATCAAAAATCTCAGTAGCAACGAGGGGCACGCTTTCAAGTGAAAAGTTCGAAAGAATGTTTAATACCCTTTCAAAGATCCCAAAATCCTAAGGTCTATACCTAAGCTTCGGAATTGGTAGTCGTGACAATGGTTGTATCACCAAATAAGTAGGCAACACATTTCAAAACGGTATATAAATACAATTTTAAATAGTAAACAATGTAAAATGCCCTATATAGAGTATCCTATTAATATACAGGAATAAAACGTCCGCACAGCCAAAAACAAACAAGTAGCGGTAAGAAAATGTTGGCCAAGCCGTGATAAGGCGTAGCTAAATGCCACGCCCCCATCGCGAAAGCAAGTGGTAGAGCGGAGGGGGCAGGTCGATGGCCACAACGGCGAAATCAACAATAAAAGCAAGAAAAGCGCGACGAAGTTCGCGACGCGCCATAAACTTTTGGCAGGCAGTGTTTTTTTTGTGTGGGGTGGCTTGGCCAGAGGAGGGAGCTCTCCTCCAGCCAGCTGGCAACTACAAAGGATGCGGCCCATGCTTTCTGGGAGTCAAGTGGATGCCCCGCCCCCACGAGTCTGCCGCCTCCCACCGCCAGCCACCCCCTGCCCGCCGAAGTGCGACCAGTCACGAACTGAACAAACAGCAAACGGACGTCGCCATGTCACGGAAAGGAAGAAGAATCGAAATCAGGAGCGAAAGGACAAGAGCAAGAACAAGATGCAGTGAAAGAAATGGGTAGCTAACTGCTGTATTTGTGGGTAAAAAATACTATTATTTCTTTACTCTTCAATCATAAGATTAAAATGTGATATCTTTGTTTAAAAAATCGGAACTTGTCAAGTCAGAAGGTTCTTATACTGAGTTATCCTAAGTAGAGTAAAGTTCACTGTCGACCGTGGCTAGGTTTATCTTGCTATATGATCAGAAATATGGATATTTTTCTTCATCTGTTACTTTGACAGCGCCAAGTACGGGGCCCATAAAAACCAGTGTGACAGACAGAGACGGCAGGGAGACACTTGGGCGATCACACGGCTCTGATATGCAAACACACGCGTCCTAAAATCCCTTTTCCGCCCACAGCCCCACTCTCACGGACTTCCCACACCTCCCTCTCCTCTTTTCCAACCAACAACCAACAAGAACAAAGGAAAATCGCATAGAAAAAATAATTTAAAAAACCAAAAAGCAAAGGCGAAGGCTATAGCTCCATGCCATGTGGGCGGTCGCTCGTGCCACGCCCTGTTGCAACTCATGCGGGTGTGTGTGTGAGTGTGTTTGTCTGTATGCACTCCACATGCAACACTAAAAAAGAAAAATAATCAGGGAAAATAAAAACAAGAGGAGACGCCACACGAACAGGGCGAAATCTGCTGTTCTGTGTCACTTTTGCTTGTTTGTTGCGGAATAATACTTTTAGCAGGCAGTGTGGGGTGTCCTTAGTTCTAGTCCTTAAGGAAAACAGAGTAGCAAATTGGTGTAAGATGCACTGCGACCTTATCCGCTGACTAAGCACTAATTATTTTTAGTGTATGGCTTTAAAATTTCTAATAGAGCCTCCCGAAGAATAGCATACTTCTTAAACTGAGAATCATATACTCGCATACGCTCCAATCTTTTTTTGAGTGTAGCATTTCATGGCAGTTACTTGCCTGCTCCCTTTTTCCCCTCATTTTATTCAAATATGAGATTTCTGATTTAGCAAAGGGAGTGTGCTCGTATTCGGTAGCTGGTGGCTACACGTCCTGCCACATCCTTGCAATTTTCTGCAACCCCTTTCTCCCTTTCCTCCGTGGCTTCCCATTGTAGTTTTTTTCATTCCAACTTGCTGTTTGTTTGCGTTGGCAACATGAATGTTGTCACTTGGTTTTTCCAAGTTCTTGTAGTTTTCCCAACCAAATACACCCTCCCGCTTCTCCACGGGCACCCCTTTTTTTTGGGGACATCTCTTCTCGTTTTTTGACATGTTGTCAACTTCACGTTATGTCAGAGAAGTTTCAAGTTTTTCTCCGCTCGTGCCGACATGCATTGCAACTGATTCCGGTTCCACTCCTCCACCTACATAGATCCTAAAACCTACAGTTCTAGTTTGTTTATATATATTGCTTTCTGGTTGGCATTTTTCCCCATTTGTTTTGCAAAACCGCAAGCACAAAAATATGATAATCATTTTTGTCGGGCTGGTTGTGTGTATCTGTATCTGCATTTTGTTGACCTCTGACTGCAATTTATTCATTTGCTGTAACGACTTTCCTCTGCAGTTTCTAAAAATTTCAGCTTCGTTTGTTTCCGATCTGCCCCTTAGATACTTTTGACGTGAGTGTGATGGCATTATATCATATTTCCTTTCTGCTCGTCTTCGGCATATCCTCGTATCATTTACATTCCACTGTGGGAAGAAACGCCACTTTTTTGCATAAACTCTGGATTTAAAGATGGTACTCTCGAGTTTAATACTTTGTTACGGCATTTGCTGGCATTAGTATTTTGACAAGTATATAGTTCTTAGCTATAGTTCTTGAACATAAGCTATGAAATAAAGAAAAATTAACGATATTTATCTTTTTCCATCCA